GAACTTTGGTGTGAACTTTGCTACTCTTATTGATTTGTGGGCATTCCTTGGCAGCTGGTCATTCAATTGACATTTTTGTTTTGTTCCCTGGCTCTGCGAATCGTTGGGCCTCTTGTGATTTATCCTTTGTTAACTATAGATCGCGACTAGGGAGCGTCTCCCCTCTAAACTAGGTTGAGTCTGTTTGGTGGGGTCGGGGTTTTGTTGATCGTACCGCGTTCTGTTATCTCCCGTTGTGCTTTGGTCCTAGCTTAATGTTTCGTTCTGGATTGTCTTATTCTCGAAATGGTTTAGCTTTAATGATTTTTATGGTGAGTGCTAACGGTCTGAGTACGTTACTGTCACGCTTCCTATGGGAGTTGCTGTCAGAAGCTTGTTTAATTTGAAGATTACCCAACTGGGGAACTGTAAGCAACAGCTGAATCTGTGATGCTTTGACTGCCAGTCCGAATCCACCTTACTGAGTTATTGTGCTCACAGTTGAAGCAATCTCAGCCTAGAATGGCAGCGTTTACTACCTGCGCTCTGGTGAGTGTGCTCATCAAACCTACCAATAACATTAACCTTGCCAAGCGTGCATGTCTCCGGACGAAAAATCTGCAGCCGCCGTTAATGAGTCTTCTGACTCGAGCTTTGGTCACCATACTGGGTTTGAAGCCGTCCACCGCTTGTGTACATTAAAGCTTCGTCCATGAAGCACCAGCCTGCTGCGCACAGCTACCACAATGTTCATGACCCAGGTCAAGCCCATGAGTCTTCTTAAAATGATTTTTGCTCCTCGAACATCGACTAATCGGATTCCAACACTTTCGAATTGATACAGTAGTGACCGAATTGGGAATCACGTTCATTGAAGTGCCACTACGTAGCCAACTTCTTAGTATGACTCTTACTGTACAGCAAGGTTACAAATGTGGAAATTATATTTACATAGTTGACAAGCGGTCAGAAAGTCTACTTTCGGCACCACCACGTCGACGTTTCCTATTCTTCGTATTCACCTCTTCGTAGAAGTGGCGACCGGCACGACCGGCCTTCCTGCGCAACGCACGCTCCAATTGACGCCTGCGAGCCGCCGACAGACCCTTTGAAAGTGTCGCAGCTTTCTCCTCTGCCGCCGCCGCCTCTGCTTCGTCCTCAGAGTTGGGCATAAGGTTTAATTCGCCGACATCTGCATCACCTACGCAGTCTACTCCACTTTTCTCCTCATCTGCCGTCTTCGCCTCATCGGTTGACTTGGTGTTGAAAAGAACAATTAAGTTTTTGATACGCTTCAGCCCAATTGGATAAATATGGAATTGGGTAGGCAGACAAAAAAGCGTCCCTAGCCAAAGGTGTTAAGTGATGATTTGGTAGTACTTGTTTACAAAAAGATGCCACCTTATTTAAGTAAACTCCATAATGTAGTGAGCACCATAAACACAGTACAACTCACTTTGTCTTCCACGATTTCTTCATCTTCTGCTTCCGGTTCAGCGTCAAATGCGTCGATGAATGCCTGAAGGAAGCACATACTTTTTTCAACTCCCATCAAGCTAAACTCAACATCATATTTGCGTTGAAATAAGCTCAGATTAGCAATAGATAAATGAAAAGGGGCCAAAAGGTTTTGGTCACAAGGATTCAGACATCCTAATCATGCAGACCAGTTAAATAGCTTAAAGGAGGACCCTTCGTCGGATCTTCACAATAAATGAACCGCTATCTGAACAATGAAATTATTACAATTGTCTGCAAAAGTCAATCTATTACCAGGTCGACGGCTTTCGATCACGCCAATGAGGTATGCATTGCTCTATCCTCGTAATTTAGTGCACTTATAATCGATATGGAGAATTGGAGACAGCATCAACCACGTCTGGTGAATAGCTTACCACTTCCCCGCGCCTTCC